TCTCTCTCTCTCTCTCTCTCTCTCTCTCTCTCTCTCTCTCTCCTCTCTCTCTCTCTCTCTCTCTCTCTCCTCTCTCTCTCTCTCTCGCCACCCAAAGAATGTATCTAATACCTCCTGTAGTGACACATATGGCAACATTTTTAGCGGTCGCAAAACTCCTTCCAGGAGACGGCCAGCTGATATCGAAATGAATATCAGTAAACTTGTATGCAATAACTATACTTTTGATACTCGTTTCGATAAAAGTATGCCGCTGAAGTATCAACATATCTCTCTATCTACTCTACTGCTTATTCTATGATGAATACGGTTACATACGCTGTCTTCTCTATATGGGATAGAACGATGGAAACGCACCAGCTTGCAGTACAGAATGTCGAAGCTTACGCGTTAGAAGCTGCAAGATAAGTTTTGGAACATTAAAAAGCAACAAGAAAGGCGTGTTACATAACTGCAAGTTTTTAATGACCCGATAATCAGCTTTTGGTTCGCTCACTCCATGTTCGTTGTGCATTTCGGTTGCCAACGAACTCTGAGCAGCCCTCTCTAGCTAAACTATGAGCCGATAATAGAAGGCTGTGTAGCCGTTCTCACTTGTGGCTGGTGCAGAGTTGTCAGCATTGGGGATTAATCACCAAACTGGCAGCTTTCTCAGAGCAGTTGGCGGTGAGATATTCCGGTTGTTAATGGGTGATAGCATTGCACAAGAAGAACAACTGCTGAAGCTCTCCGGGAACGTAATTGGTCATGCTGCATACGCCCTAAAAAAGCATTTCGGAACCGGGTGACAAGCTGAAGAACTGAGAACTGACAATACACAATTTTTAGTTGTTGTTAATTGGAGTTTTGGAGCGCGCCCACTACGGTGGTCACTTTTTAGCGTCGCGCTTTTTGCTCTTCTTGTAAACTTGCTCTAAACTTGCTGGAATGTCCTGCGCTGTTGCCTTTCGCCTCAGATCACGTACCGAGCAGTATGGTCACGCGGCCACGTGCGCGCGGAGCCTATGAAAAGCATGACTGCGCTCCCCGCCTTTGCGCCATACAAGAGCGCGGAGGGATCTTTTGCGTTTCGTACGGTGCTACAACATAGCCGCCCAGTGCCAGCATAACCTTCCTCGGTCAGGCATGTGCCAGCTAGCCACTAAATAATGATAGGGCCCAACAATTCGCTTTCTCAGGGATTCGAACCGTGTGCTGCGAGACAGCTTTCAGCGACGCTCAACCTCATCTGACAGTTTTACCTTTCGGTCTGGGAGCCAACCGGAGCCACCCAGCTTAGCAGATTTCCTCACTGCTGAGCGCGGGAGCCTTCCTCTTCCTGGTCAACCTGACGCTGTGGCCGCGCCGACAGGACATGCACGCGGTGGGAAACAGCGCACCACTGCTGGACAGCAGCAACGATGTCGAGCTGCTGGAAGGGAGCGAAAACAGCACGCACACCATCTTCACCTTCCGTCGCCCCCTACGGTCCTGCGATACCGAACATGACCTCAGTTTGGGGGTGAGTACTCGCCTTTTGACGCTCACCGGGTGTCGTCTAACCGAACATAAGCTGGAGTTTTGGATGAACGTGCTGAGTGTCCGTCTTCTGATTTCTTCGTGGAGATTTGAGAAACTTTCCTGGAGGTCGCTCAAACCAATCCGGATCTCACTCATGAGATCCGAAGATCTGTGATCTGTGATCTGATCTGTGATCTGAGGTCCGTGGTCGTGTTTGAAGGCCTCCGCCACACACCCGCTGGCTGTACAATTAGCGGTGTCTCCAAGCATAGCCCTCCTTGCCCATCCTCCAGCCATGGCCTCGTCACCTTCGAGCTCCCTGGGCTACCTTTCGCCCCGTCCGTCCGACTTGACACTTCCCCTGCCCGTCATCTGCTGACAGTCGGTCGACGCCACCCCCAGATGGACACGACTCGTCTGATCTGGGCGCTGCACGAGTCTGACCCGACGCCGGGTGGCGGCCCCTCCTACCACGGCACGCGGCGCGGGGTCCGCAGCCTCAGCCTGGACGGCTCGGGCGTCTTCCGCTTCCCGGCGCCCGGCGAGAGCGAGTCTTTTGTGTTCGGCAACAGCGAGGTGGCGCTGCCCGAGGCCCGCACCTACTACCACTGTTCGATAAGGAAGCTGCCTGACTTCGGTGAAAAGGTCCACCTCATTGGGGTAAGAGCCGTGGAGTGTAGTTGTGGGGTGTGCAGAGGTGAGCTTAGATTAAAATGTAGTTTGATTTGTTAGATGTTTAAAGCTTGGGTCAGCACTTTGGTCGCCCTTGGTCCGAACGAAAAAGTAGGGCTCCTTATATTTTCGACTGACGTTTGGTTGCAGTGTGCGCCGCGTATATGAAACAAATTCACATGAATGGGTGCCATACCTACATCAAGCTGCCGTCAATGAAATCAATGATGCCAATACTATCACGGTTTATAAACCTGTCACTCCAGAGGACGTGCCGTCCGTCAAACCACGCCGGTTTGGAACTGAGTAAAACATGAACGATCCCCGCCTCATATATCCAAACAAGATACACCACATGCTGCATGCTTCCTCTGACATTTATTCTGTGTTGTCTAGAAAGGGAGGGTCCGCCGGCCGGCGTCGGGTCAGACACGTGCAGCGTCCAGCGCAGCACTTGGTCTAGAAAACAGCACCCGTTCGCCTGATGTCAACGTCTGTCCGTGCAGTCTCGGGTGAAGCTGGATCCAGTCACCGCGCCGTACGTGCACCACATCCTGATGTTCGCGTGTACAGTTCCGGCGCACATGCACAACCAGTTCGACGAGTACGCCAGGAGCCATCCGGGCTCAGAGTGCTACAGGTAGGGACGGTGATAGTGCGTAGTGCGTAGTGCGTAGTGCGTAGTGCGTAGGTACGCACTCAGAAAGGCACTCGAATTCTGAACATCATCCTTTGGCCTCCATTGGATCCTTCCGGTAAAATGCCAGTTTGGCCGTGGAACGTATCAACGTCTTCATCAGCGCCCTCAGCTGGGCTCTTGCCCTGCGATTTCTTTGATAGCATTTTTCAGTTGGCCGCTTGAAGTTGAGCTCAGTTCAGTGTTCCTATGCTGACAGTTATCGATCTTGAAATTATCAGTATTTACTTGTCAAACGGCGTTAACGGGGCAGACATTCGTTATATTGTTCATGCTCGGCATTTTATCTGTGCTCACGCTCACGAGTGATCCACAGCTGAAGGTTTATGCTGAAGGTCGGTAACCGTCAGCACAAAAATTCTGAAATTATAATGTCCAAAATCGAGAGCTCAATGTTTTTTGCTTATGCTTAAATGTTTAGGCACCCTTTAAAAGTGATCGCTGTCAGATTTTAGATCCTCAAAACCACTGGAGAAGGATTGAGAGAATCTGTTATTTTGAAAAGTTCCAAGGCAAAGGCAAGGGCATTCCAGAGATAACGAATGCAAAACTTGTGACTGAAATGCGGGGAATCTTGTAAAATCCGGCATCCAGCTTTGTGTCGGTTAGAGGTCTGCAGTTGCGATATTTCTGTACACGTGTATGTGCGCTCATAGTTACACGACTGATATTCCCGCCGATCTTGTCTCCATGGCATTGCCTCGCTGGAATCTCTGGTCTGGACGGAACGGCAGTGTATACATTTCGCCGGCGTACCTCATTGCCGGCAGCCAACTGCGTTGCTACTCCACAGCCGTCCCTGAACCCGCTCGGGGATATCAACGTCTACAGTGCTCGAATGATCTCACTACTGTCACACTTGGGGTGGCTACTCCACAGCCGTCCCTGAACCCGCTCGGGGATATCAACGCCTGCAGCTGCTCAAATGATCTCACCATTGTCACGCTTAGGGGCAGTTTACCCCGCTCGCCAGGGTGTGAATGACACGTTGTTACATCCGCCGCACGCTGTCACAGGGGGAGTGTAGAAAAGTCTGCATGTACCTTGGACTCACTTCAATCGACCCTGCTCTGTAGGCATCGGTATGTGGAGCAGAGAGAGAAGCCGCGGACCATCACACCACCTAATGTGGCTTAAGCGCATCTTCTGTGCCTTCCGTCATCAACTCCCATATTGCGCACGGCTGCGCTCGTTTGTCTGGATGCCACCAAGACGGGCACGTCACCCCGGCGGCCATTTATCCGTCGCTCATGCCGCCTTTTGCCGTCAACAGCAAGAACATGCCTCCGCACTGGTTTTTCTGCGGGAGCATCACCTCCGGCTGGGCGGTCGGAGGGGAGGGTGACATGCTGCCGGACCACGTCGGCGCGCCGCTCGGCCACGAGCACGGCGGCTTCACCTTCTTCATGCTGGAGTTTCATTACGACAACCCTCGCAAGCACGCCGGTGAGTCGGCTTTCAGGCGTCAGGGAGGCATCGATCGGCTGGCACTAGCTGACTTGCATGGCGGCACAACATGGAGTGTGCGCGCCTTACAACTGTGTTTTGGGTGCAGGCCTCAGACCGGTCGAGACTTGACGTCGGTTTACGGGATACCTGATATGTTCAGTGGCTCGACCTTTCCTGGTTTGGCCAGTTAGGCCCCTGGCGGATTTATGTCGGTACCAAAGCTTGTCGTACCACCATTAAGTTTTCAGCAAAATTCGTAGAAAGCTGTTCTGTGATATTTGAATGGAGATTACCTGATCGGTTGGCGTATTGCTGCTGTGTTGCATTATCACCAGCATATGTCCTCAACATCCGATTAATGTAGAAAATGTAGCATTCCTCACTTGTAAAAGGCCAGAGGACTCAGGTCAGGAATAGGTCCCGATCTCGACGAGCAGACGACACACTGACGTGAGACCGACTGATAAAGACAGAGAGCACGGACATCCGAACCAACAAACTGGCGACGCACACACACACATGAAAAATCATGCACCAACTCTGCACCAGCCCACCCTCGGACATTTTGAAGGCCTGAGGTCAGAATGCGTCAACCGGAACAGGTAGAGACGCGAAACCAGGTGCACGGTGCGTGAAAACGTTCTATTTAGATAAAGTTAAACGGTATCCCTCCTCTAATATACGCAACTATAGCTATATATAACTCTATAGAGAGAGAGAGAGAGAGATAGAGAGAGAGAGAGAGAGAGGAGAGAGAGAGAGAGCGAGAGGGAGAGGAGAGAGAGAGAGAGAGAGAGATATATATATATATATATATATATATATATATATATATATATATATATATATATATATGGGTGTGTGTGTGTGTGTGTGTGTGTGTGTGTGTGTGTGTGTGTGTGTGTGTGTGTGTGCGCGTGTGTAATAGTACCCTCTAAGCCCTAGTGCGCCAATAAAACACCAGGAATCAGAGTGTTACACTGTCCAATGCCGGTCTAAAATAAAATGCAATGTGGCCTATATCGATGGAAAATGGGTCATAAGAACTGCACCGACGCACAACCCAGTTTGTTGTACATATAAACGTTTTTTCCAAACTCCCGTCACCGTCACCAAAAAGTTTATAAGCTGTTCATCTTGCTCGTCGACCGAAATTTCCAGATCATGCTTTGCGCAAGCCCGTCAAATTACGGAAATGTCTGCATGCAGGTTTGAATCCATAGACGTGCAATTGTGAACATTGTCGGTCAGTTTCCACCAACAGCCACCTAAGTGGCTCAGTCACGTCACATGGGACCGCACTGGAGAAAGTTAGCAGAATGCCTCTCGCAAGTCAACCTTACCAGCCGTGCCCGCTCTTGACAGCAGTGCCAAGACGCGGATCCGGCGAAAAACCCAGCAAGCTTACTCGGGCAGCAGGGAAGCAAGACTAGAGCCACCAAAAAGGCTCGGTGCGAACTATGTGAAAAGCGAAAAAGGCTGCAAAACTTTCCGAGCACAGCAGACCGAACCTCATCCTGATATTGCGGTACGCGTAGAGAAAAGAGAGGCGTTTTGCGCTCGTCCTGGAAGCCTGGCTGCTGCTTTTAAAGCAGATACCTGCCAGGCCTCCATGCGCTCAATGTCTGCTGCAGTTCAAGCAACTCGTTGAGTTCCCTCAACAAGAAGAGTTGAGCTTAGATAGTGCGCCACAGGCATACTCTGCGGCGCCGGAAGGTGGATACTCGGCTTATCGGCTGGTACCGGAGTGCAAATGAATTGCGCGAACGGTCCAGACGTGTGTTCACGCAAGGCCCACTGCGCAGCTCCGCATCGAGAACGACACTCGAATGCCCGGTCTTGTCACGCACGGCCAATCGTTGCCCACACAGGAGCTATTCAGGCATTTCTAGCAAGAGTCCGCCTCTGAAAACAAGGCAATGGCTTTTGGTGTGTGCCGGATTAACGTGCACAAACTCCAAACGCACCAGGTGGCGAGCTCTTCAGCAACCCTATGCGTGTGACTCAGATGGTGCGTGTTGCTGGAAGGGATGGGTAGGTGGTCGGCATCACATACTTCTGGGACATGAGAGCCATGGGGCCGTGCTCCAAAACCACTGAGGTCCAGCTGTCTAATGATGGATAGGAATCGATTTAATAGGTTGAAACAGAAAAAATCCAAGCCGGAGTGGCAAAATAACATTTTGACTAACGCCCTTGTGGAGCGGGAAGCTTGGCGAACACTGGCCGCCAAGCATAGCGCGTGTCGCCAGATGACTCTCAGGCTGCCAGGAGAGCCCAGGTCAGCACAGCCAGGTGTTCATCAGCGCGCAACAGAAGGGCAGCGCGTCAGAGACTGGCAAAGCATTCCCGATCATCTAGATTAGCGGCACAGACTGGCAAGCCCTGACTAACAGGCCGCTGCGCAGTCCTTGCACAATGATTGTAGTTTCAGGCGTACCTCGGCCTTCTGCAAAATCGAACGGTAACTCGCTTGGTATAAATGACGACTGCTCATCAAGGAGGAACATCTCTACAAATTGTAAGGACCACTGAAGCGAGGGAGATCGGCTGATATATATCGTAAGGCGTTAGGACTAAATCCCACGTATTTTGATAAGGGGCACAATCGTGCTGCATGCAAAACTGGAAGGTACCCGTTGTTCGTTAAAACAGACGATTGGAAGTCATGGCAGGTTGTGAAAAGGTTGGAAAAGCTCCATACAGAAGGTGATTGGCATAAATTTGGTAAGCGTTTCGGACTTGCATCGCGTCTCAGACACGCAATAAGACGAGGAACCTCCTCAGGAGGGACCATGCGAGAAGGATCAGGTTCAGTCCCAGCAAAGCCTCAGACCATGCCAACATGCCGTGTCACCTTGCACTGGGGAGTCGTATGTACTCCCCAGTTGCAATGAACGGCGCTTAAGTGTGACGCAAAATGAAGCAGTTGCGCAGCACTGATCCGCGAGGCCGGCTGGCTGCGTCCAGACGAGGATATCAGAACCGCGCTCTGACACGGCAGTTGCGAAGAACGGAGTCCGCCGAAGCCTCAGCGCCCACCAGGGCCTAGGATCCCTGCCTTGGAGACTACTGTATTGGTCGCGCGTACGCTCTTATATCGTGTGTCGTCTTTTCTTCGCCCTCCGGCTGTGAAGGGCCGTATAGGTCAGCTCTTCGTGGGTGGATGATGCTGTTCAGGTGCAGTGTAGTGTTGTTTCAGTACCGCGCAGTATAGTTTGATTGCCTCTCGATGGACAAAATGACTGCATAGTGTGCTGTAGACAGCAATAACATGCAGAAAGAAACGACGAATGGAATTCCTACACTATCATTTGTAACTTCGAAGATTGCTAAAATTTTGCGGACGTTAACTTTTAGTACACTTTTGCACTTCTACACAAAAGGAAGGATCTCCGATGCCCTGCGAACCTCTAATTGCGCGGGCTGTCTAGGGTGACGCGCTCGACTCACCTTGCTCATTTCTGTCTTCTCTTCATTTCTTTTCGTGCACGTCCATGATCTGCCTAAGCCAAGTGGCGTGTACTTTTACCGCCCAGCCGTGTCGGCCGCGATGTTCGGTCAGTGTTCCGCGCTGCCTTGCAGGTCTGAAGGACAGCAGCGGTATCGAGTTGTTCTTCACGCGCTCGCTTCGCCCGGTGGAGGCGGGCGTCCTGACCGTGGGGCACGCGGTATCGTCCACCCAGCTGATCCCTCCTGGACAGAAGAACTTCATCACGGCCTCAGTGTGTGCCGGAGCCTGCACGGAGGAGGTGGGTGTGTCTGTGCGTCCAGCTCGGCCATCTCAGAGAGCGATCTGGGGAAAAATCGATGTGTGGGAAATGAAGCAGAATACATTTTTTGTCGTAATCGACGCGTGTAAAATGACACAAAACGCACATTCAGCACAGATTTAATAACTGCTCCGACAATCGCTCTCGTCTTTTGTGTTATCATGCACTCAACGTTTCGGCTAAGTAGCAATCCGACCTTTATCAGGTGTTATGGAATCCTCAGAATCCAGTCCCTAGAAAGCCTGACTGGTTGGCGTTTAGCTTTCACCCATGTGTGTGTCACAACAAGGTGCGTCGTCACTTTGCATGGTTTTGGGGATGGACCTGAGCTCCTCATTGCTGACGTTAGCTCCCCTCAGTATTCATTCGAGCCCCTCAATTCATATGAGCAAAAAATAATTCTGGTTCGATGAAATGCAGAGCAAATTCTTAGTTATTGGTATACCAATGACGAGGCACATCGCTACGGTTATTATGCTCAGTTTGCACCAAATGGTGTTCGCTAGACAACTTCTTTTTTTTGCCAACTCTCGCTTATTTTAGGCGAATCTGAACCTGTTTGACAATTTTCAACATGAAAACACCCGAATTGGGATAAAGAGCAATGGACTTCAAATTTTCGCACCTTTAAAAATGCAAGGTAGCCCAGATAAAAGATACGCTATGTTTCAGCATTTATAAGTGTATCTGTCGCATCATCGTGACTGTGGTGTTATTCGACAGTCAAGTGAATGACAAAACACAGCAAGAGTCAGCAACAGTCATCAGTGATTCCACGCCCGTCAAATCGTGACAATAAAAGGCACAAGTTAAAAAACAAGGAAGCACCAGGTTTACTTCTATAGACAAATAGATCATCGCAAATTACTAAAAACTAATCTAAAGGCTCTTGTTCGTGCATGTCAGACCATGCCGTTCTACATAAAATTATGTCAGTTCACTGGCTTATGAAAACGTTGTCGCACCCTCTACGTTAAAAATGTGGAAGTCTGCGCCTCACGACGCGTTCCTGGCTCAATGCGCACCAGGGTTCTTTCCACCGGTTCTGACGATGTTGAGAGGCCCTGTCAAGCATACTATCAGCGACCCTCACCTGCGGTAGCGTCAGGCAAGGCCAATGGCACAACAATCTGAGTCTTGAATGCTACGTCAAGCCAGCTCTGAAGTCAGTTGCATCGTGAATTTCTAAGTTAGCTGTGCCAATGTTAGTGTGGAGCACATGCACTGTCAATGCCAGCTCAGGTCAATAATTCAAACCCACCAGGGTATTACCGGGAAGCTTCGCAGCATCCCAATATTATTGCCGCACTTTAAGTTTGTGGCACAGGGCTGTCTGATATGAGAGTTATGTGGTGTTAGATAGCAAACTAAGGTGGTCCCATAGAAGGGTATAAATGGTGGCATGGGAGCGTTTTATCAGCTGTACTTCGTATACAAATGCAACGCTACGTCGGAATAGCGACAAAGTTGTCCGATATTGTTTGCCTGACCTGAGAGGTCGACCGCAGAGAAACCTCCCACTAACAATGCAAAAATATCACATCACGCACACATGTGATCATTACCACGTTTTTGTCAACGCTTCCGCTTACACCTGTGACAAATAACCGGCAAGCCAGCAAGAGGAGCAGAGCTGCCAAGAATAAGCAAGTATGATCATCTTGATAAATTTTAAGTGTTTAAACCAGTACCCTAGCAGCCTCTCACTGATTGATACGCTAGACTGTAGTAAAGCCAGATGTTTTATGTTTACGCCACATGCGCTATTTCTCACCACCGAACGTTGGGTTGCATGCCATTACACCTTCGCCCTGGGGTTCTGAATTTATACTACTCCCAATATGCAGGCAGTTCGACCTGCAATGCATGATTCAACACAACGTGTCACGCTCACCACGAAACGAACCCAAAAGAGTACCAGCGACGTCACAGCCCTAACCGTGCTCTGAAGTCCACCGCTGTCGTGTTTTCCAGTACCTGCCCAGCGAAGGTGTGCAGATCCACTCTGTCCTACTGCACGCACACGTGGCGGGCAGGTCGCTGAACGTGCGGCACATCAGAGATGGCCGCGAGCTGCCGCCCATCGCTCACGGTGAGACGCTGGATGGGAGACCGCGCCCACGCCGCGCGTTGCCGTCCTCACCCGTCCGTCGCGGAGAACTTTTATCTGCAAACGGGCGAGATCTGGGGAAGAGTGCGACTGTGCCGCCTCGACATTTCGGCCCTGAGAGCTTTCGGAACGCGCGCATGGCGGTTAGTGGGAGATTCGCTAGCTAGGTGCACGAAAAAAACAGCCATCTCGTTGGACGCGTGCAGATTTGCCGTTCAAATCAAATTAAGTGATGTTCTTACGAAAATTATTACAACTGTCGCGCAATTGATCGAGGGCAGACGCATTCAATAACCTTGGTCAAGAACTCATTTACATCAGCCAGTTCGCGGACGCCTCTGTCGAAGTTGTGAGAACACTATTGACCTGAAATTGTGTCCGATGCTCAAGCACTGCTTTAGTCGCGACTGCCTACTTTAAGGCCATTCGTCCAATGGTCATTATTGTTTGGGGACAAACGATACAAAAACACCAATCTTCCAAGAAGAATTCGTAGAATTGAAAACATTGAACAGTTTTGTATTTTTCGGCACTATGCGGAGGTTGCAAATACCAAAACATCGGTTATTTTCAGGTCCACCGCACGTGGATTAGCGCATGATGGGCCAGCAGTTGTCATTTCCCCCATAGAGCAAGTAGTGTTTCAAAGGCAACTGTCTATGTGCTGATGTCTTCCCAAAATTAGCTTCTGTCGGCAGCGCGCACGTGCCTCACTAACCTCTGTACGTTTCAGACTGGACGTATGACTTCAACTTCCAGCAGAGTCGCGTAATGAAGGGGAATGTGCGGATCCTGCCCGGCGACACACTAATCCTGGAGTGCGGATACAACACGGAGGACCGCACCAACGTCACCATGGTGAGCAGCATGGCTGACGCTTGACAGGTTTTCGATGATCCGGCATCAAGATCACATGTCCGCCACGACATTCACGTCAGCAGTGCTTCGTGCCGTCTTGCTGTGACGCTAAACTATGACGTTCTGCCGTGACGTACCTAGTTCCTTCTCAAGTGGCATTGTACCATTCCACTGCGGAGTTCGGGTGTTTTTGTACCTGTCCGCCTTCGATCAATAGGTGTGCTGCTGCCTACTCTGGCCTCGGCAACGCGTTAAGGCCCACACTGAAATTAAAGTCGACGTCGACGCACCTCTTGCTAAGACATGCAAAAGAGGACAAGTCAGCAGCGCAAGAAGTACAGCAGTAGGAACGTCTGAAATGTACATCAGCAGCCGGCTGAGTTAACTGTTGGTAGTACTACCGACCTTTTTTCCATCAACTGCCTACTACCTACCCCACCTACCAAGTACCAACTACCACTAGCACATCTATGGCACTGGAGGTAGGGGCTAGTAATGGTTCGCAGAAACTGGGTGCCAGACGAAAATAAGTAGAAATATCCGCCTTTGGTACGGAGATTGGCAGTCCATGAATGCTATCATTCAGGTTACCAGATATTGCAAATGACCGTTCGCTCAGAATCATACCGACTGGTCAGGCGCAAAACAACGCCCAGGGATAACAAGCGGAGCAGCCAGTCACCTTTTCTATCAACTAGCCAAGCGAGCTTGTTGTCAGCAGGACGGCAAAGGTGCCGACGTAGTCGTTTGTAGCATCTCATTGCGTGGCTCACATATGTAATGGTAGGACAAGCGTCTCCGGATTGTAGAACGCCATCTGTTGCATCTTGGTCTATATAACTAGGGAGAGACGCATGTGCGCACTGTATGGGCCAACCAGTCACTACTCTGCTATCCTTAATAAGAACGTAAGGCGTTGTAAAATCCGCTGCGCGAAGTCATGATGTTCTATGACTTCATCATACCCTTCTACACGTCAGCACCATGCCGTGTCCTGTGACGTCCTATATTTGATTCGACATACCACTGACCACGGCGCTCTGTCTTGATGCTCGCTGTTAACAGGGTGGGTTCTCCACTCGGAACGAGATGTGCCTGGCGTTCGTGACGTACTACCCGCGGACGGCCCTGCACAGCTGCCCCAGTTACCCTAATATGGGCCACTACCTGAAGGATCTCGGTGTGCGATCGGTGGAGGTCGCTGGTCTGGAGCTGCCGTAAGTACGCCTGGTTCGCGCAGAGCTCGACCTTCTCGCTTTTTGTTGCACGTGCAGATGTATTTTAGGTCTCAAAGTGTAAGTTTGTCGAACTGTTGGTGTGAGGCATTTACTAAAAGATTGAACGTTTGACGACCGAAGACGTCTCCAATGCTGGCATCCACTGGAAACTGAATTCCTTGGATATCGTACTGCTTCGTCGAATTTTCAAAGTGAACAAACATTTCAGCCCGGGTATTGGAGGGAATCTCTGGACTATTGGCGGATTTAAATACAGAACAGACCTCGTCAACCAGCTTCAGGTAAGGCTGAGGATACACCTTGGGTTGAACTCTCGATATTCGTTGCGTTAAAAACACTGAAAACGCATGCTTATTAACTGTCTTCAGAGAATTAGAAGCTCCTCCAAAAGGCGTCTGTGATCTACTTGGCGAGACTATTACCTTAACTACCAAGAGGCGCTTGTGATGTACAACCCGAGACCGGCGAAACCTGTCTGTCATAAAAGAAATAATGCCTATCACGGCCGGTCAATGTGACCGTGATCTCTGATGTAATCCAGCCCCAAATAGTCACATTGGAGGAGCGGGATAACTGCCACCCATTCACAGGGCCTGAACATTGATGTTTTCAGATTTTCAAAAATGAGACGGAAGAAGACAAGAGCATCAGATCATCGAATGATAACTCTGTCAAGGTGTCTCCCGAAGAGTGGTTTAATAAAGCCCAGCTTAGTACCATGAAGGTGTCAGCAGAAGGTACACGTTCGTGATGAGAACACGGTAACTGACTGCCCGATGATGGTTTCTACGTAGGTTTATAAATGGTGCAACTACTGACAGCTGACGCACTGCAGGACTGTGGCCATAATGCGACTGCTTCTTGCCCGCGCCTCATACCGTTATTGCCGTAGTGCATGGCTAGCTTCTCGGAGTGTAGCCAGAACGCCTGCATACATTAATCACACATTGTGCGGCGGCACTTCATCTTAAGTCGGCAATATGAGAGGACCAGAAAGGACGACGACGGAACGCGTTTTGGTGCCGCGCCCTCGTGACACGCGATGGTGCGACTGCACAGGCTCGCCGACCGTCACCCTGTACGAGTACCTGACTCAGATGAACTGGGAACAGCCAGCTGTGGATGCCCTGCAGGCTCAGGTCAACGGTGGCCAACTCTTCCATCGGTGTCGAGGCAATCATGCGATGTTACCGAGCGACTACAGAGACGAGGTAAGTCAGTCGCTGAAGCAAATCAAGGTATGTCAGGTAAGCGTACCATGAAAGCTGGCATGTCGCGTCGTGCGTAATTATTCTTGGGAGGTATCGTTGGCTGCACCAAAGCCGGCGAATGCAACAGCTAAATGCACAATGTTTCAATGTCAAAGATGCTTATATCAGGGACAATGGGGTAAGGAACTTTTCAACTGGGTGATTACCGAATTACTTACAGTGTCAATGTACAGCCAATGGGGCGTCTTAACTGCACTGAACGTAAGCAAACATGTGCTGCACTTCTTTGCAGGCAGTAAGCGTACCTGCAGAATGGTGCCGTGCTTCTTATGATATATGGGATAAGGACTGTGATGAACCGTTGAGAACCAGCTTCCTGTAGGAGATGTACACCTGGGACAGAACAGTGGCATACGCCGACTTGGACGGTTCCGCGTTCGTGCTCTCCATCTGCCTCACGCCTGTGCCTCCTCTGTCCACAGTACTCGGGACCGTCTTCGTACCCCGAGTTCGAGCCTCTGGTGGCGGAGACGCCCGCGTGCGCATGAGGAAGCACCAGTGGAGCAGCCAGGCGGCATGGCCTTCTAGGCCTCGTCTCGCTTACCGTGGTCACCATCGCCAGCCGTGTGATCCCATGAAAGCAGTCAGGCGGGATGACGCCGAAGTGGAGAAGTACTCTGAGTATCTGGGATACTCATGGAGAAACAAAGAGACCCCAGGAGAGCCAGCTGAAGAATGCGGAAAGAATGGGGCGAACACTTCAGAAATTGGAATAAGACTTTCGACCGCATTTTGGACAGCCTGGCGGTGCCACCAGCTCTCCCCCAGCCTTGCACCCAAACATTTTTCAGCGATTTTGACTAAATTGTAGAAAGGGTTCAATTTCCTTCGTTCAACATGACGTCGTATGCGTGTATACATCACATTTCTGATGAGAAATTGCTTAGTCTACCGCGTTGTTTAACCAGCACTTCCAAGTATATTCAAGGTCGAAAACTCATCGGTAGGCGTCCAGACTAATCATGCTGAAATTACATTCGAATGGTTATCTATTTATACTTTCTGTCGCTATTAGAGCTACAGCGGTTTAAAGGCACGGCTTGGACGATGTGCTGTTTCAAAGGTTGTAAACAAGACGCTTCGGTAACATTTACAAGCTCCTAGCATCCGCGAGAAACCTGTCATGGCCCGCTTGTTGTGTTATCTTGCTAGCGCTAAAACCTGCACATGAGTGGTGCTAATACCGAACTGACCAATGGAAGATCAGTTCGGCGAATTGCGTTTAGGTGCACCTGTGATGAGCATGGGGTGTATTTGCTGTCATTGTCACGTGGATCAGGACACACAACTAATCTTATTAGTCTCTGATACCGTTACCTCGCTTGGTGTGAATAGGTGTCTTTAAGGAGCCTTGTTTAGCTGTGCTACTAAAGCACCCACTAACGAGTGTTTGGGCTGGTGCCGGTATGCCTTCCTAAGTCATAGGTGATAACCTATGAGGCCTAAAAGGACTTCGAAAAGGTTTTCAGCCTTTGTAGCACGCGCACTTTAGCTAGTACGAGAAGTTCCAGGACTAATACATCGGTTCGAAGTAACAGTCAGCTAGCTTTTCAAATAGTATGATGATGATATTTGAGTTAAGGGCGCGCCTCGACTACAGCGGTTATTTTGCGCCTGTTGCCGTGTTAAGTGATAATTATGTGTACAGCACATCCGCGGTTTACTCGTTAGGTGCGTGGTACTATCATGCCGGAGGTAGGTTTCACATAGTGCAAGTAACACAGAGTCAAGGACCATTAAGCGGGTGAGCAGTTGGCTGTAAAACCGATGTCCTTCATAAACGTTTCGACCACCTTGACGCCAACTACATGGTTCTCACTTATGAAGGAACTCAAGGACAACCTGCTCCGTGTGCTGCCGCCAAAAGGAGCGCTGAAGGTCGAGAACTTGTCATCAGACCTCCATACTCATCTTGCTGAAATGACATTTGAATTATCGTCTGTTAATACCTTCTGCTGCTCTGCACTCAACAGCAAGCTGGCGGCACTGAACCAGCGCGGGGAACTGATAGCTGGTGGGTACAACGTAGACACGTGGGAGCTTGACAGAAGAAACTGTGTGTTCCATAAGTATGACCGATACGATGACCACAACGAAGGGCCCCTCCTCTTCTGTTGCTCCGGTGGAAAGTCGCCTATGCTCCAACCGTCTCTTTTACGGCGCAGAATCTGTTTCTCACATTACCGTCAGCGCCCACACTCACATCCGGCGTTGCAACCCCGACTCCCTGTCTTGTTTTCAAAGGAGTCAATAAACAATGCAACATATATCAGCCGTTGGCGGGCTACTGCCAGACTTGCGGCGCACACTGCCGCAAAGCGAGATGTCATAGGGCTAGACAGGTCGATTATGATGATTTGGGTTATGGGCGCACCGACTAGGATGGTCATATGGCGCCCATAACTTACCTCTTATCCAACAGATGTGTGAAAAAAACGACGAGATAAGGTTACGTCCGATGTATGGCATGAATTTGTATGTCTTCAAGAAACTAAAAATGCAACCGTCATTTACTAAACTCGAGTCGTCTCCCAACATAGCAAAGCGCATGGCGCGTGGACTCTGATCAAAAATGGCGCATACGTTCCGAGGCGAGGTGCACATAATCAAGACATGTCGCACGGTGTAACGATCCGCGCAGCGAGGACATAGCGGTTGGTCTTCCCCACATAACAGGTAGGCATCGTTGAGCTGCGTATGTGTGTCCTATTCTCAGGCGGCATAGCGTCACTTCTTCCTGCCTCACCTTACGGCAGCTGGATGCCCATGATCCAACCGGGGCTTTATCTCTCTCAGTTTATTGGCAGCGTGCGGATGTGCGTGGCACGCCTTGCCGCGGCATCAGCTACTTCATTACCCGATATGCCAACGTGGCTCGGTATCCAGCAGAATACCACCTGCTTCCCGGATCGGGAAGTGTACTAAGAATAGTTAAAATGTTCTGAACGATGGGATATGATGAGTTCAAATCCTGCAGTGTCGTAAGGCTACTAAGAGAGTCCGATAAAACTAAGTGTTGATTGTCCCTGTCAACTTCTATGAAATGGAGTACTTTAATAATGACTATTGGTTCGGATGTGGCGACCGATGCGTGAACAGGCAAAGCAGAAGACTGTGACAGGGTCCTGCACAAAAGCACCCCCAACACCGGCATCCACTTTTGAACCGTCCGGGTAGGTCTTCCAGGTATGTGATCCAGGTATGACGCGATCCACTCCAAGGACCTCAGCCGAAACTCATCCGGGAACACTTGCCTCTCCGTGTTCCAAAACCATTGAGCGAGGTCCATCTCTCCAAACGCGTTACAGCTAGTTGCAACTGACGCTCCACCCCTGCGGCCAAAGAAGAGCTGCACCAGATTGCAAGATCGTCGACGAACACCGAACGACCGCCTGACTGAGGAAATGCATCTCTGATGTCATTGATCACGAGCGCAAAAGGCGCGACACCTAAAACACGACACCTGGGACACACCGCTCCGTTGTAAGAAACGATCAGAGAACTGATGACCAACATGGACGCGAAAAAAGACGTTCTGCTAAGAAGTTATAGATAAAACGAGAACGAGGAATGGTGGAAGGATCGAATGGGGAATGCAGGTGCTGAGGAGGGAGCGAGCGGGAGAAGGAGTAGGAGCTCACGTACCGGCAGGGCCACTAGGCCCTGAAATGAACAGCTTGCACTGTCCACCTGCCACAGGAGAGGGTCCGAC